AACAAAAAGTCCCAAACCCCCCCCCCCCCCCCCATTTTTTTAAGAAGTGAACATGCGAGGGGTTTGTGAATGCATCCCAATTCTGAGGAGCTTTCTACTGAGTTATCTGGAAATAGATTATGTGTGGGCCAGTGGGATTGTCTATCTGTATTCTAATCAAACCTGATGTGGGTGGGGCATAAGCCCATTTTTAATGTAAAGTTTTCTTCATAATTTACATACAGCAAATATGTATAATTCATAAAAGTGTTATTACAAAATATCTATTAATGTCTTCAAATTAAAATAACACTAAACTGTAAATAAAAGGAAAAATAGTTCATAGTACATATGCATCATTTGAGTAGGCTATGGGGTGGGTGGGACATGTCAAGTCAATTTTCTCCTCACCACTTTTTGAAAACCATTGCAAAATAGCTTATGGAACCCATGTACACACAGAAAAAGCATCTCCGATCATTCATTCTTTGTAATTTAATTCATACATGAAACATGAAATACATTTGTGCCAGAATTGTTCAGGTGAACTGTACAATCACTGATGCGCTCAAATGACTAAGTACTGACGCTGATGTCCTAATACCTTAAGCAAACAGCCTTCTCCCTATATTTTTCTATGCATCTAGCAACCTTTCCGGCAGAGCCCTTATAGGAAATAAGTGTGCAATGTATCTGGTTGTAAACTTCATGCTTGCTGCTGCACATCAGAACCTGCAATGGGGCTATTTAATCATGCTGCACACATTTTTAGTTGTATAGTTTAAAGATTATCACTTTACACACTCACTATAGTGTTGTCATTTTAGGTGTTTATCTAAAATATCATGCAGTTACTTGGCTTACCTGTTATCCAGCAAGTGCATGGAGTGACTGCATCTAACCATTTTTTTTTCTGTTTTCTGTCAGAATTCATTATCCATTTTTAGGTGATTACCCATGCATTTCCAAATAAGGCACGGAGACATCCTTACTCTCTAGATATTGGCTCTTGAATATATATATATATATATATATATACAGTATATATTGCATGAGTTGTTGGGATTCACTAAAGATTCAGTGAATACTTTCTAATAATTGATGTTCATAAACTCACAATTTTAGTGCAGATCACAGTTCCCTTTCATAGGATCTCAATGCTGCATAATGACACAATGTGATTGTGTTAGTGATCACCAAGTCTGAAGCCTTACAATATCCTGCCAATTCATCAGCTGATGGTGCTAAATTACCGCCCATAAGAAGCTGTGTCACAGTGCCCCTATATGTACATGCTTGGTGCCATCACATTAGATATTCTTTTCTTCAGTGTGCAATAGTTTTAGCCCATTTTGCCTAGAGATCTCCACTGAAAGGTTTTGCAGTTCTGGCCTCTATTCTGCCAGATTTACTAACCAGCCAGTGGTGGATTTTACTAATGTTTGCCGAACTGCGGAGCATGGTTATGTGGCCATGGTATCGACATAGGAGACCCTCACATTGTAAGTCCAAGCCTTCCCTTCCCTCACACACAGATTCCAGAAAATCACTACAATCAAACTATCCTGGGACAAATCCCAGGAAACATTATCCGTGTATTTTCCGGAATTTCTGTGTGAAAGAGGCTATAGTAACTAGATGTGTACATAGTATGTAACCACAGTGGGGAAGTCGTGGCCTAATGGTTAGAGAGTCGGACTCATAACCCAAAGGTTGTGGGTTCGAGTCTCGTACCGGCAGGGATTGTAGGTGGGGTGAGTGAATGTACAGCGCTCTCTCCCACCTTCAATACCACGACTGAGGTGCCCTTGAGCAAGGCACCGAACCCCCAACTGCTCCCCGGGCGCCGCAGCATAAATGGCTGCCCACTGCTCCGGGTGTGTGTTCACGGTTTGTGTGTGTTCACTGCTGTGTGTGTGCACTTTGGATGGGTAAATGCAGAGCACTAATTCCAAGTATGTTATGTCACTTCACTTCACTTCACTTTATAGTATCTACAGCTGTAATGTTTGTGTAACTACACATATGTAACAACCCACTGAATGGCATGTGTAAATACAAATGTGTAACAGGACATTGGTAACAACACTTTTTGGTAATGAAAGTACAAATGTGTAACAGGACTAACAGCACTTTTTGGTAAAGAAAGTGTTAAGTCAAAAGTTGTTCTTTTTTTCACATTTCTGTGCCCCTCATTTCTGAACTG